ATAGGCATCTCCACATCCCCAAGAGTTACTTTGTGGTCCGGGAAGTAAATACCTTCCTGCAGCCGTCTAAACAGACCAGAGTTCCTGAAAACACGAGCGTCATGAACCTTGCCCGGCCATCCGACGTTGATGTTTGTAAAACGTCCCCTATGGTCCACAAGTGCTTGCAGCACCATTGAAAAGTAGCCCTTTCGGTTGATGTACTGGCTGGCCTGGTGGTCCGGTCCCAGGATAAGGGATGTGAGTTCCATCTATAGCCCCACCGCAGTTTGGGAATCCCATCGCGGCGAAGCCATCTATGATGACCTGCGTGTTTCCCAGGGTCACTACCTTTGAGAGCAGTACCTCAACGATTGCGTTGGCTACTTGCATCACAACAACCCCCACGGTACATTTGCCCACGCCAAAGTGGTTCGCGACTGACCAGTAGCTGTCTGGCATTGCAAGCTTCCAGAGGGCTATGGCTACTCGCTTCTGGACAGTCAGGGGTGTCGCATCCGGGTGTCATTGCGCTTCAGGGCAGGGGACAGCAACTCACAAAGTTCCATGAAAGTCCCCTTCCGCATGCGAAAGTTTCGCAGCCACTGGGATTCATCCCAGACCTGCAGCACTATGCGGTCCCACCAGTCCGTGCTTGTTTCCCGGGCCCAGAATCGCCGTTCCACAACATCAACATGACCCATTGCCACCGTGATGTCCTCGGCGCGGGGTCCCGTGCTTTCTGACAGGTCTGTGCCACTCTCAGACTTCAGGCCCTCACCGCGCTGCCGTAGCCTCCTTGCCTGATTTCTCTGCATCTGCCTCTGGGAAAGGTGGATGATAAGCTGCGAGGTGTTGACAATGGCCATAACTGCAGCGATGGTCGCAGCGGGCTCCATGCTCGCAGTGCTGTGGCGTCCGCGCTGTCACTGACCAGAAAAGTGCGTGAACTGATTTCCCGCCGGCGCTTTCAGGGAGGGAGGGCGGTAGTGACGGACGGATGACGACAGTTACCCAAAAGCACCCTCGACACATTTTTTTACCCAGAAGGCATTGGCGGCTCGACCCAGAATTCCAATGGGCAGCGGGGACTGCGGGAACTGTGGGATAGCTGCCCACAGTGCACCGCTTCCAATGTTGACGCTTTCCCCGTTAGTGTGGACTCACAAAGTCGAATTACTGTCCTTAGTGTGGACACACACGTTCGATTTTGTAATATCGATTCCACATATTCGATTTAAGTAAAATCAAACTACTCTCGTAGTGTAGACATACCCTCAGACTCTGTGCTTGCGAGTGGGGAAGTATTGGCTCTCATCAGTGCCCAAAGGTGGTGTGTAATTTTCCCAGGTTAATGGGTGGGGGCTCAAGATGGTTCTGTGTTGTATTGTTGAAAAGGATCCCCTAGATATTGAACCTGGCCCTGGTTGCTGCCAGCTCCACTTGGCAGAAGGGTTACAAAAATAATAAAAAATAGAGTGGTGACAGTGAATCATAGTGTTAGGGTATACTTAAATATGGATAGTTGTTTATAATTATAGAAGTTTAATAATTATTAAAGATATTTTGGGTGGTTATAGCAATAACAAGATGGCAGTCGCAGCACATTCAGAGAAATTCAAAATGGAGGTCTGGGAACGATTCAGCCAGAGCAAATAGGTAGGCTGAGGTGAGATAAAGGTCGCTCCAAAACCTGAAGGGAGTGTGATTTGCCATTTTTGTCAAATGATTTGCAACAAAACCAGAACACTTTGTCAGTTGATTTCGAGTAAACTAGCCAACGCCGATTCAGTTTCTCACCATTCTTGAGCACCCTTTCACAGTGTGACTTTTAGAAGTGTCACTTCTGCTCATTTACTGGAAACGTCATATCCTTGATTTTGCCTGGCCCATTCAAAATTGTACAATCAATATTGGCAGAGTTTAGGATGGCCGGACATAAAGCAAGATCTGATGTATCGATTTGTAGTGTACAGTTTTTCTCACTGCGGTTTCTGTCATCATGCAAGGCTGATTCTTCTTTATCTTATCTCTCCTTTTCATGTAAACCGGATTTTTCTTTGTCATTACTCTCCTTTTCATGTGAGCTACATTCTTCTTTATCGTCACTCTCCTTTACATCACCAGGAAAACTAGACGATTCTCCATCACTTTTCTCACATTTCCATTCCTTATCGTCAGATAAATCTGCTTATTCCTTAGTAATAGGACTTCCATCATTTTTATGCTTCACTCCTCAATTTCTTCAGCACTGGGACAATTGCTACTGCCAAAAGCCGGGTCTATGTTGTTCAGTTTCAGATATTTTCCTATCAAATTTGCCTCTTTGTAAGCGGGGGAATGGTCCCGCTATTTTGGGGAATTTTCCTGGCTTATACACTACCCCGGTGAAATGGGCTAGTGAAAGTGCTCCCACTTCCTTTACCCAGAGGCCTGCCTGACGTCAAGGGCTCCCCTTCCACTCTCCTGTGTGGCAGAGTCCTCATAATCCCAACAAGGCTGAGGCCAGGATTCCTGGGGGGCTCGACCCCCAACCTTGTCGTTGTCACTTAGGGCAGGGGCTAGGGTGTCCCCACTCTGGAATGCTCTCTCTACACTGGATGCTTCCCTGACCCACTAACCATTACATTCAGTTCAAAGCAAATACAATTAATTCAACAGCAATCAATTAAAAAAAAGAAGGAAAAAAATGGGAAAGATTAAAGGAAAACACCCAACCCGGTCTGTGGCACGGGGACATCACAACCATCAACTCTGGAATGTAAGTGTAAGCGGGGGAATGGTCCCGCTATTGTGGGGAACTTTCCTGGCTTCTGCACTACCCCGGTGAAGTGGGCTAGCGGAAGGATCTGAGTCCTCGCTCTCACTTCCTTTACCCAGAGGCCTCCCTGCCCTCGAGGACTCCCCTTGCACTCTTCTGTCTGGCAGAGTCCTCGTAACCCCAACAAGGATGGGCCCAGGATTCCTGGGGGGCTCGACCCCCAACCTTGCTGTGGTCACCTAGGTCAGGGGCTAGGGTGTCCCACTCCGGGGTGCTCTCTCTCTGCACTGGATGCTTTCCTGACCCACTGATCATTACATACGATTTAAAGCAATACAATTTAATTAACAATTAGTTTAAAAAGGAATAAGGAAAAAATGGGAAAGATTGAAGGAAACACATCACCCCGCTCTGTGGCAGGGAACATCACAAACAGTGTCTCTGGAACGTCAGGGCAGTTCACAGTCTGTTCCTTGTAGATCCCAGGCCTCCTTCTCAAGCTCTGGCTGTGCTGCAGGGATGCTGTGGGTCGGACACTTGCTCTGGCGGTGGCCACACGCTCTCAGGCTCTGGGTGACAGGACCCTTCTTCCCAGCGTCACCCCCGCCCTGTCAGGGTTACGATCCCCCTCCAAGTCTGGCCTGCAGAGCCTCTTGGCTGTGACGTCTCCCTGTGCTGGGCCCACTTCCCAGGGTCCCCCTCCTCTCCCCAGCTGCTCACCGCACCCGGCTCCGGACTGCTCCAGCCCCAGCTCCACTCTGCCTCAGCATGGCTGCTGCTGCTGCTCTGCCTTCAGCTCCCTGGGCTGCTTCTCTGGCCTCTGGTTGCTACAGCTCTGCCCCCAGGACAGGTCTGCTCTGCAGGCTGCTTCTGTGACTCTGCTCCCAGCTCTGACCTGCTTCCTGGGCTGCTTTTCTGGCCCCTCTGGCTCTGGTTGCTGCAGCTCTGCACCCAGGGCAGGTCTGCTCTCTCTGGGTTGTGCTCTGAGGACGGGAACCCCCTGGCCTCCTGACTCCTTGATTAGCCTGCCTGTCCTATCAATCAGGCTGACCTGGAGCATTGGCCTCTCCCCATTGCCCCTGGGGGCTGTCAGTCTCAGGGTCCTGATTTCCCATCGACCCTTCCCCTTTTGGTACTGGGAGCTGGTCAACTAAAACTCAGGTGGAGTGTTTAAGGGGACAATAGTCCCCTTACACCCTGCTGCAAACTAGATTGCAATTGAGCTTTTTGCTTCCTGTACTACCACAAAGCACGGGAGGCAAACCACCGCGCCAGTGCTGCCCCCACGATCTGCCGTTTCTACAAAGAGCTGGACGCGGTACTTGGGGGCGACCACACCTCCACTCCAAAGAGCACCATGGACACTTCAGAGACCGGAGCAGCCCAGAGTTCAACAAGGCAGGAGGAGGAAAGCAGGAGCAAGGGTAGTGAGGAGGAGAGGGGCCCAGAGCCAGAAGATGGCCCAGCATCCCTAGATGCATGCAGCCAGGAGCTGTTTTCAAGCCAGGAGGAAGGTAGCCAGTCACAGCGGACGGTGCTTGGGGAAGAACAAACAGCAGAGGAGGTGCCCAGTAAGTGGCTTTTATTCTGGGAAGATAGTTGTTTGGTGCGGACTCCTGGGGCGAGGAGGGTTGCAGAAAGAAGGGTTAGTAGCTGTCCCTCCACCTAGGAGCCAGAGGAAGAAACCGGCAGCTTCCCAGGAGCCATGCGAAGCCAGGTATGGAGCCTGCCTGTGTTGCCAACCGGACTTTTAATGGCCTGGTCGGCAGTGCTGACCAGAGCCGCCAGGGTCCCTTTTCGATCGGAAAACCAGACACCTGGCAACCCTAAGCTGCACCCAGCCAAAGACCATCTGCACCCTGCTGCAGTGGCATGGAGGGCTGCAGGGCGAGGCAAACCCTGCTCACTCTGTGCCAGTGCAGCAGGGGATGGAAGGAGTAAATTCAGGCTCCACCTCAGGGTTAAGTACAGGCCAGAGCCTGCGTGGCCGGGGGCACTTGTGACTGGAAGCAGAGGCTCCTCTGCGGGAGCTTACTGCCCCTCCCCCAACCCCCTGAGAGGCCTCCCCACACACGTCGCGAGCTCGGCCTGCGCGCGCCCTCGCGGCTCAGGGGCGCGCATAGGCTCGCTCCCGGGCCTGAGGGGAGCTCGGCTCCTCCCAGCATGCCCCGCGGAGGCGACCGACCGGCGCTGCTTGGAGACCGTCACTAGGGGCGGGGGGATGCCGCTGGCTGGTGTCAGGCGGCGGCACGGCGGGAGCGGGCGGCGGAGGATGCAGCCGCGGCGGCTGGAGGAGCGAGGAGCCATGCAGCGCTGTGCGCCGGGGCCCCGGCCGCAGAGCAGGCGGAGCGGGGGCGCCCTCACCACCCTCCTGCTGACAGGTTGGTCGCAGCGGCTCCTTCACTGCATCGAACGGGCGCGGCCCCGTGGTACCCCCCGAGCCCCTCGCTGGTCGCCCCAAACCCCGACCTGCCTCGGCGGCCACCCCTCAACCCCCCGACTGCGGGCTGCTGGAGCCCGCTTTGTTCCCTGCGGCCCCCCAGTCACTGCAACAAGCACCCCACGACCCCCAGGGCAGCGGCCCCCTCGATTCCCCCAGCAGCAGCAGCAGCTGCTCCTCTTTTAAACCTCCCACCTTCCCTTCAAGTAGCGGCGCCCATCGTCCCCTCCCCGCCAGCAGCTTCGGCCCCTCTGACCCTGCCTTGCCCGCCAGCCGCCGCAGCGATGGGAGCCTTATTACACCTCCCCCCGCCGCGCCCCTCTCGCTCCCCAGCAGCATCCCCTGGCCCTAGCAGGCAGCCGCCGCTGCGATCATCGGCTCATTACGGAAAACAGGCGTCTCTGCAGCAAAGCCAGTTTCAGAGCCTCGGTGTCAGTGCATCGCCCAGTCAGCCTCTGTAGGATTGACACAGCCCCAACTGCCCCCTCCCCTAGGCTTGTGCTGACGCTATAAAAATCTACAGGAATGCTAGAGGTGATTGATGTGATGGCCATCTTCCATGTAATGTATTGCCGGCTAGCCCCTCCCCATCCGAACCACTGCTTAGCTACACCCGGAGCAACATGCCCATTTTAGGAGTAGTCATCACTTTACATATGACGTGGATGGGAGAGAGGTACCCCTCATGCCACAGTAATGAATATGGTATGCATGCCTCCATAGATTAACAGGCTGTAGGTAATCATGGCAAGAACAAGAGATGTGATGCATGAAGAGAATCCGATGGCACAGTCATTTAAAAGAGATCCCTCTACTCAATTCAGGTAGTGAGCATATATCTAGTTTTACTGAAGGCTGCAAAGATTCTTTTTTCCCATCACCTCTATGACCTCATAGGATTTGCAGACACTTCTCCTAGCTCTGTCTGAAGCAACCTGCATGTTTCTGGCATTGTGCAAATAATTACATACAATAAAGACTTAAGAATATTATGGTCACACCAGTGTCAACCACTCAGAAGTTAGAGTGCCAGAATTAAGGTTGTACAGGAAACTTTTATTCTGCTCCCTTCTGCATATGTTTATGACAGTCTTTAATCACATGATCATACTATTTTCAGAGTCCTGCCACAAAAAGCATTATCTCTTCAAGCAGAGACATTTCTCATAAAGGAAAGTGTTAGGCCACCCTACCAAAAGGAGTGCAGCCACTCCCACAAACTTTATCATTAGGGTACCAGGATTTTGCAGTGAAAAAGAGTATATAGCTGTTCAGAATGGTGGTTTTATCATATAGTTTCTCTGTCACTTTGTTGTGATCAAAAGTTCATTTCTATTTAATTCTCTCAAACTACTAAGCAGTGGCATTTGGGATCACTTACCTTAAATATGATAAGTAAGGTAACCACATGTATTAAAATATTTAAAAAATGGAAGTAATGTGAATTTTTTTGGGGTGGAGTCTAACAAGTGTTTTGATTCATACGTTTGTGGTTAATCCACCAACGTAATGCAAGGTGAGGATCATACCAGTTCTATCGAGCAAGCATAGATATGTGAAACAGCTCCCCTCTTGGGAGAGCAGAAACATGCTTTCCATGACCCCTCTCCTCAACCCCACCACAATGCTAGGATTAGATTGTCAGTAAAAAGAGGAGCTAAGCCAATCTCTACAGCCATAAATTTTCAGCAGTTTTAACTGGATAGATACAGAAAGTGAAAAAAAAATTAATGGGTTTTGGAAGATTAGTTGCTCATTTCTGGTACTCACTGTGAGAGACCTCAGGTTATTTACATCTACATTACAGCTGAATGGGCTCAGTGTGCAGGATATAAACGGTGTAGTCAATGAAGGGTAACTTCAGAAGGGATAAACCACACAATTAAAATAATGGATTATCATTTGTTTTTAAATTTAGTACTTTTAAAGGTTTTTATGAGTTTCTGGAGTGGGAATGTGGAAAAACTAACCCATCCGAGGCTTTACAGCGTTGCTTTTTTCAAAGCGTCTGACAGTGTAACCCATGTGAGCAAGGTGTGGATACAGTTGTGGATAACTATGTGTAGTTTAAAAGACTGCATAATAATAAGAACTGTATGCGGTTGCCATTTACATTATATCAAACTTCTGTAATACTGTATTTATTGCAGTATTAGCTTCATTTACTTGTTTCTTCAACTTTATCAAAAGGGGTGGCCAAACTGTGGCTCATAAGCCACATACAGCTCTTTTACAGTGAAAGTGCAGTTTGTAGAGCTCCCCTTCTCCTCCCATTCTCCACCTACCAGACTGGGGCAGGGGGAGCTCAGGAGCTTCTGCCCTGCAGGGAGGGGGTACTCAGGGCTTCAACCCCATGGGAAGCGCTTGCCGGGGCTTGGAGCTTCAGCAAGAGCAGGGCTGAAGCCCTGAGCCCCAGCAGGCACACCCAGCTCTCAAACTTCTGAAGATTATTGTATGTGGCTCGGAGGGTCAGTTAGTTTGGCCACCCCTATTATAGCTATAGATGTCATCCTATGCTCTGAGTTCACACACAAAATACAGAACTGCCCATAAGGTAATCATCCCATACCTCTCCCTCTTTAATAGCTTAAAGGACCTTTGCTGAACCTGAAAGATTAAATAAATCTGGCCTCTGGAGACCACTACTGTATAGAATGGGGAGCGAGTTCAAAACAGAAGGCCCTAAGTTATCAATGAGACTTTACTATAGGATTCTTTGCTGATCTCAACTCTGGTAGCATGTCACAGAGGGTTTGTCCTCAGATAACCAGGGCTTATCTCATTCAGGGTTATATATTTGAAGATATTCACTTAATTCTGAATTCTTACTTGCACATCAATCAGGATTTTGGAAGCAATTCAACATCCCCTAATACACTGAAGCATTGTTTTGTTTTTAAATTGCACTTGACCTGGGCATGCAACATCTACTGATACTAGTAGATGGTCTGCATGTTGATTAAGGGCATTGCTTGAAGTGTTGTCTTCTGCAAGTTTGGCTAATTAAGATCTTACTCTCTCCTCTAGTTATAGCACTTGATCTGCAATAGCACAAGTCCAGGCTCTTTTCCTTTTTGCTTCATGATGTATAAATAACAAAGGTTTAAAAAAGTTTATTTCAGAAATAAAGATTTTATTAACCCTGGGGGAAAAAAAACAACATGTTGACTAGAAGTTATATCATTTGAGACTCAAAGGTGAAAGGGTATGGGATTTTTAGTTATTGTTTCAAGGAGTTTTTTGTTGACATTTAATTCCACTGTCTAATGAACTTTAAGATTCAGAATCCTTGATTTCTTCATTTGAGATATGAGAGTTAATGATGACCATCTGTGACCTCTTCCCCCACCCTTGGAAGTTCTCCAACAAAGCCAGGGAAGCTAAGACTTGACATTCCTGATATTGTAGTAGAACAAGCTTTAAAAATGTTTATTATTTCAAAGAACTACTAATTCAATAATTGCTGTTAAAACTAGACTGCATTATCAAGTCATGATTTCAGACATGGGGAAAAGAGTTTACTAGAGTCTGAGATGAAGACCTCTACATTATCCCAAGATTAAGCCTCATACTTGATTTCTCTCTTTGAAAATTTTTATAAATCAGTCATATTGCCTTTAGAGTCAGATTAAGGGAATCTGGAGCCGTAGGCACACATCTCCTTGTGGCTGTTCCCTTACAACCTTGTCCCCATTCCACAGCCCTGGCATTCCCCCACCCCCTCTATTAGGAGTGGTAGTGCAGGGGCTTCCTCCCCTCTAGTAGAGGCAGGGATAATAATATGGGTGCCTCAGGAACAGTAAGAAGGGTCCCCTCCCCCTTTGGAGAGGCAGCAGCAGAAACATTAGACCCCCAAATACTTAGTCCAGAAGTTGGGGCATATCTGCTTATGAAACTGGGCTAGACCCACTGCACTTGTCTCTTCCTGCCACAGAATGATCACTAGAATAATGTTTGCAGGACCACACAAGCAGTGGACTGGGTCTTGGCAATAAAACCCACTGAAAAGAATGGAGTAGTTTGTACTCTCTGAGCTACTGTTTCTGTCCACCTGTAGATTCAGACATCACTGCATCAACTACTTTGTTTTCTTTTTTCAGTATTTTCTTTGCACCATAAGGGCTAGAAATGTATTTGTTTAAGTAGGAGTTCAGATTCTTACATGCATGACTTAAGGAGGAGCAGCACTAAGCAACTAGTGCTGATGCCTTAATCCATTCCATATTGTCCTTCCTGCTGACATAACTCATCATCAAAAAGAAATATAAAGCTTTTATATTAATGAGATAAGTAGATACAGAAGGGTGAGTCTTTACAATAGTCATCTGATTGGTTTGACTGCAATTATGGAATAAAGTTTTTTTGTTTGTGTGGTGGCATAATTTAGAAGGAAAAAATTACAGACTATTTTGGATACTTGAAAGGTGGATTTACAGTTTCTAATCAAACTGAGAAGTGTCATCATATAGTTATACAGATACTTTTCCCTCAGATACTTGAAGAAAGTATAGAGTCTGGACATTAGAAATCTTGGTATAGATCTGTAAAGCTCCTTAATTACATTTTCTTGAATTTGTTTTTTATCCTGTAGATTTGTCTTTTCCCCCCAGTTTAGATAACTCTACAAAGTTGCTATTTTAATTCATTCTCATAAGAATAAAAAAGTAATCTTTGTAGTACAGAAAGAAATATTAATATTTTAGAAGCAGATGTAGAAACTAAAGAACCAGTAACAGATATCCTCCCCCCACCCCATGCCCCTTAAGCCAGTTGAATGGTTTCTCATAATGCATTAGATAAAGGGGAGAGAGACTAGGATTGGAGAGAACCTCCTTTTAGCAACCTCAGTTTTACCTGGGAGCCCTGATGCAAAAGATAATTTAAGGTTATCATAAGTTTTCTGTTTCTTTATTTTTACAGTTGACAATATTTACTGTATTGTAGCTAGTTACTTGTGCTTGTGTGTGGTTTTTCACATCGCACCAGAGAAGAGAAAATACACATTTACAGAAGTAGTAAAATGTGAGCATAAAAATCACATATCATGGTAGAGGAGGTAGGCCAGATGTAGTACCTGAAAGTGGCTAACTTTTTTTTAAAAATTAGGTAGACTTCAAGTTGACAGTGAACATTTAAAGGCTATTAGTATGTTGTAATTAAACTTCAGAAATTCTTATTTGCTTTTATCATGGGCTAGGCATTCCCTTTCTGGTAGTACAAAATTATAAAATAAATAAACTCTTAAATTCTCTCTTTTCCAGGGTATAATCAAAGTCCAATAAACAGCCTTACTTTTGTAAGACATAAACCAACTCCAAAAAATAACATCCTCTTCTTTGGGGAGAATAGCTATCTTAAAAACACAGCTTTTAGTTCTTTCCTTCTAATCTGGCCATGTCTTGTGTCGTCTTCCTTCATTTATACATAGCAGCTGTGCCAGGTAGGTGCATGAGGTCCAGCTGCATCTACTCTTCAGCCACTTAACCATTTCCTGTTTGACTCCACAACCCAGCAGAGTTACTATGGACACAATATTGATATGCAGAATGTAAATATAAATTGTTCTGAAATGAATGTAATCATAATATTTTTATGTAATATCAAGCGAGGTATTTGAAGTACCAGTGAGGCTGGATAGTATATATACTATGCCCCACTTGAGGTTTTAATAATTTTAAGGTGGTATGATTTATTTTAATAAAATTAAATGCTCAGGAAAAGTCTGGAGGTACTGTCTTTGAAATGATGTGTTCCATGTTCATTTAGCCATTGGCTTCTTTACTGAGACTTATCAAATGTGTAATGGTGGTTCTGTGAATTGAATATCCACACACAAGAAAATGCAACTAGTGAAACTACTTCTTATTGGCCAGTGAACAGTTTTCCAGTTCTGTCAACTTTTGGTCATCACCAGCTTGGCTGGATTTAAGCAAATGGCATAGATGTGAAATGTTTTCATCTTATTTCAAAGTCCTTGGAGACATCCAGTTTCCTTATAATTAAATAAGGGGAGTGTGAGTTAATGGAGTACCATAAGTCCAAGTGTGTCAAGAAGAGAATAACAACAATTTAAAAAAATACATTAATTCTGCAGAAATTTCAATGTCTTGACATTGATTGCTTCTCTTGACTTTACTATGTTTTTATTTAGTCCTTTAAACCCATTACCGACTTCCAAATCTGAAAATTCTTTGCTTGTTTCTAGTCTAAGGGCTGCTGTAATATAGATCAGCTGGTGATAGTGCCAAGGGGCCATGACCATCTGGGGATTGTTGGCACACAGCCTGCCTGGCCATGCCCTCACCCTCCCCACCTCTGACTATGTCAGGGATTCTAGAGTATGTGATGGGCAGGAGCCAGTTACAGTATTTTTTATCAGTGGGGGATTAGGGGTTGTGGGGCCCTGGGCCAGAGCAAGTGGGGGCCCCTCCCCACCCCTTCTGCCTGCAGTTGCATTCCTCCCTGGCACTCCTGCCGGGGAAATGGGGTCAGGGCACGGGGGCTTGTCCTGCCCTGCCTGCCCGACGCTCCTTCCCCCACATCCTAATCCCGCTCCCCGGCAGGAGCAACATGTGGGCGGACGGAGTGGGGCAAGCCCCTGTGCCCCAATCCCACACCCCGGCAGGAGTACCGGGTGGATGGAGCACGGCAAGCTCCCATGCCCTGACCCCGGTCCCCGGCAGGAGCGCCAGGCAGAGCGGGTCGGGGCGTGGGGGTGCCCATTTTTCCAGGGCTGTCCAATTGGCCGGGGCCGTTGAGCAAGGGCCCCATTGGCCCAGTGGCTAATCTGCGACTGGTTTTTATGCCCGCATGGAAGATCTGACCAGTTTCCTTTCCCTTTTCACTATTAGGATGTATTAGGTAAGACATTTTAAAACCCTAGCGTAGCCAGCACAAGTAGAATTTGAATGTTAGCACATTTTTATCCGAGTGTGGCCCACCTGCCCCTCCCATCCTGGACTTTATTCTGATTCTTCACTGATGGGGCTAGACTCTACCATTCCCTTCTCCCCTTGTCCCATCCAACCTGCTGCTGCTTTCCATTGAGCTGCTGGAGAGAAGGGAGAAAAAGTCATGTGCCAGAAGAGGTTTTGTTTTAAATAAATAAAGGGGGATTTAATGTGTGGGGTTCTGCCCTCCTAGCCCATTTATTATCAGTCATCCCTACTTCCCACCTTTGGGTCCCAGGCAAGAAGCTACAGCTTGACATTATCTTTAAAAATCAGACAAAAGCAGTTTAACTTCATTTCAGAAGATTAATACTTGTCCTTACCCCCAAACTGAATACATGCAAGGCTGTTGATTATAACCTACCCATTTCCCATCATTTGACGTTCTTCAACTTCTTTAAGACATCCTTTTGTTAGTAAGTTAATGGACTGGTTTTTTTAAAAAAAAAATCAGTGGTAAACAAAACATTGATTTTGCTATCATTCTGAACTAAATGGCCTTGCTGGTAGAAATTACATTGATTTTAAGATAAGTGTTTCATACATTTAGAACAACAACAAACATTCCAATAATAATATATTGTGGTAAACTCTAAATCACACACATATTTATATTAACTGTCACAGTAAACACTTTGATATATAGCCTTTATATTTAAAATTCCTTGCATAAACATAACCCTCTATTGAACAATGGATTTGAATTTGTTTTATGAGAACTTTAAAACAAATATATTACACATGGCACATTATTATACTGGATGTGATGTGGAGCACACTTAGGCCCATAATGATTCACTTGGTCTTTGGGGAAAATCTAAATTGCTTTGTCTTCAGCAAATTGTTAGCCAATTAATAGTGTAGTATTAACGTGAACTGAGTGTGACTTGTTGTTCAACCTCTTATGCCTTGTCTACATTGCACTTTATCGGTATAGGTATACCAGTACATTATATTGGCAAAGCACTCTTAGTTCGGATGCAGTTTGTACTGGCAAAGCTGCACCTTTACCAGTATAGTTTTTTCTAAACCCCCATCCCCAGAGCAAAACAAACTATGCTGCTAAAAGTACAGTATAACTGCATTTGCACAATGCGCTTTTGCTGGTATTGCTGTGTTGGTCATAGATCACATACCATCACACCCTGTCTGACATAGGTAGGCTGGCAGAAGTGTAGATCTGGCCTTATTTGGAGATTGCATGCAAAAATGGTGACTGCCAGAGGGATATATAAACCAGCACCATCTATTTTATTTATTTCTGTTTCTACACTCTGAAGAAAAGTTGAAAACAAAAGCTGGCTTTAAAAGAATCTGATCCCAGCTAATGGCATTTGATCTGTGGGAGTCTGTTAATCTGACATTAATTCTTTTTTTGTTTGCATTTATTTTATTTTGAAAAGCTTTTTTGTTAAGCTCTGCTGAAGGGATAAATGGAACAATTAACTGGAAGACTAAGCAACCCAACAGTTATATTATCAGCAGAATAAGGGCTGCTGAAAAGAATGGTGAGTTTAGGTTGTAAATTTAAATCCCATTGTGGGTTCAGTCAACATCTGCTTTCAATATTACCTTTGCTTTTTCAGTGAATGTTTATTAATAAAATGACATCTCAAGGTAAGTAATTTTGAAAAACAATCTTATAGTTCTTTAATCTTCTAAACTGTCAGGATTCTGTATGTCTTTATGTTTAGTTTCCCTCGGGTTTTTATGTTGCCTATGGCTTTGCTTAAAATAATGGCTGTGTGTATAATCTAATATTGCATATATTCTTCTCACTGCTGGTTGCTTAAAAACATCTTTGCAGTGTGCTTAATGCAATAACTTGTTATAACTATTAAAATAATTCATTCCATATTTATATGTAGAAAAAAAACAATTTTTATTACTTATCTGTAGGAATAAACATAGAATCTGTAGGAATACCCATGCGTCTGACGAAGTGGGTATTCACCCACGAAAGCTTATGCTCCAATACGTCTGTTAGTCTATAAGGTGCCACAGGACTCTTTGTCGCTTTTTACATAGAATATTGCAGCTGAATTTTACTGTGACCAACAGTTATCTGAGAAAATGCCAGTAACTTTTCATGCATCATCTAGCTAGGTGAAGGATCTGGATCTCCCTAGAGCTCTAGCTATGGCCAGGATCACCCTTACCCAGGGTACCTGGAAAAGGAGCTCTGGAGGAAGAAACTTCTATATGGATTCCCTTGTGAAGATCCCCCACATTCGCTGTTGAGAAGAATGGGTTTCCCCCCTTACATGCAGAATAGACTGCAGGCCTGTCACCAAACCTGGTTGATCCTCTGAAATCCATGGGAGAGCAGGGTCATCCACACTGAGATCCTGGTCCTCTCTGCTAGCTCTGGCCTCTGACAGCTCACAGCCTCTAGGCTCTCCGACAGTGCAAGTCCAGTGGGGTGATTTCCTGGCTATGCCTGTCCCCAGTATCTATGGGGAAAGAACACTACTCATAAGAGGTAATACAGTCTGAGGCAGTATTATTTTCCCAGGGGAATCCTTACAGGGCCAGAGAAAGACAATTTATGTTTCTTCTCCCCTCTGTTCCCAGCCTGTCTACTTATCCCCCAGGCCTGTGCAGCTTCCAACCCTTCCCAGCATGTACATCCCAGGATTAACAGAAAGGCCTTCATGGAGTCAGGGGGGAAAGGAGGAGCAAAAACAGTGCAGTGAAGGTAGATGATGCCCCCTACATGCCTTGAGAGCACCTAATCTGGGACCATATATCATGTACAACCTTTGGTAAGAAATTAAATATTCTTTGGTAGCAGACACAGAATGCTTCCACAGTAGCCCAAAACTTTCCCCTTCCATGAGGTGGAGTCACACAAAAACTGTCGAACAATATTCAGAATATTTGGCAATCTGGCTCACGGAAATGACACTGGGAGTCAGTGAGAATGTTCAGTTACATCTTCTGCCATTTTAGTACAGTTGCACATTTTTCTCCATAATCGGTCAGTCATAGAAGATTGTTAAAAGGCTGCACAGCCTGAAGATAACAAACTATCCATAAATGAGATATTTTCTTATCAGCTGGAGAGGAAGAGCAAGTGGCATATTGGACCGAAGATTCACCTTCCACTTCCTTTCTCATTTTGAAGAAACATCAGGGGGAGGGAGAGGAAAGGCTGTGAAGGAGAACTTTCCAAATACCAGTCTCCAGAGTTGTGTTATTACAATTCATATGTGGTTATAAGATAAATATATGTAAGGTCAAAATTCATCCTGTACAATGAATAGAATATATCAAAGTACACTGAATTATACATAAGTAAGAAGGATGGTTTAGTGGATTAGGTACTGGACTAGGACTTGGGAGACCTAATGGAAACAATTCCCAGCTCAGCCACAGGCTTTGAGTGGCTGTGTGGGCATGTTATTCAATATATAAGATTGTCAGCCCTCCAGGGTTGTCCTGGAGTCTCCAGGATTTAAAGATTAATCTTCAGTGCAAGATTATGTCATGTGATGAAACCTCCAGGAATATGTCCAACCAAAATTGGCAACCCCATCAATGTGCCTTGTGCCTCTGTTGCCCATCTCTAAAATGGAGATACACCTCTACCCCTATATAACACGACCCGATATAACACAAATTCAGATATAACACAGTAAAGCAGTGCTCCGGGGGGGCGGGGCTGCGCACTCCGGCGGATCAAAGCAAGTTCGATATAACGCGGTTTCACCTATCACGCGGTAAGATTTTTTGGCTCCCGAGGACAGCGTTATATCGGGGTAGAGGTGTATTTCTGTACCTCACATGGGTGCTGTGAGGATAAAATCCATTAATGAGTATGAAGCTTAAATAATATGGTAATGAGGGCATAAGTAAGTAGATAGCTAACATGTTAAAATACTAGGGACCGATTAGTGGAACTGGGATTAGAAACTAGTGTTAAAGACTGCAAATAGGAAAATTTAGGGGGTTTATTTTCTCAAAATATTTTAGAGTTTGCCCTTTAAAGGCAGGGGATTATTGATTAAAACAGAAGGGGAAGTGGGATTAATGTATCTTTTCTTTTGTGGATGCATGTGCTCAATTACGTTAGCATTAATGAAGCTAATATATACCCAGAGGGTAGAACTCTACCTTTCAAGGCCCAATCTAGATTAGGAAAATAGAACTGTTTTTTAAAAGATGTTTGCTAACACAGTTTTAACACTGTTTTAAACAGGACTTCAACTTAATGTAGAAAGAGCGACTACTGCTTAAATGTGTTAGTTGGTTTTGGTTAACCCAAGACTCCACTTGGGTAACGGTATTAATAATAATAAATGATTATATTAGAATAATTACAATAACACTATAAACTAACTCACAGGGTTATTGTCAGGGTTAACTAATGTCTGTAACATGCTTTGTAAACTTAAAGCATTGTAGCACTGGTAGGCAACTTTTTAAAATATGACTTTATACTAGGTGCTAATTAGTGTTAAAAACATTAATCCAAACACATCAGTGAACATTTTAAAACACCACTAATTTTTTCAGTAAAGAGAAACCCTAGCTTCCATTCCAGCTGTGGGCCAAATTCTAAAGCTGCTTTTAGGATGTTCAACATGGTAAGGTCATTTTTAGGATTAATTTGTTCCTCTGAAGCTTAGTTTTAACTGTCCACCAACATCATCATTTTACATCTGCAGAAAGTCCTCAATGGTACACTTACCTCAACAACCGAATATGTTCCATTACCAGGAGCACCCATTGTAGTGTATGTGGGAATATCCAGTAAACTGCCTATGTAAGGCATAAGACATGTCAGAGAAATAATTTTTCTGCAGAAATTCCCCACTATAGTCTCTCTTATTAATTCTTCTATAAGTATTCCTTATGGAGAAAGTTTACCTTACCTTTTCATTGATTCTCCTTTTTGAAACTGATCTTTGCTGTAGTATTAAAGTCTCAAGGGATAAAGCAAAGCATCAGGAACAGAAAAATAGATAATTTTTTTCTTTAGGTTTCATCAAGTCAGCTATTTTTCTCACCTTTTCTGTTCTGTAAATAATCTTATTAATGTTACAAATTACTTTTTCAGATTTTCTTGATAGATACAATTTCCTATATAATTCTGTTTCCTCGATCTATTTATAGTTCATTTACAAAAGCAAGTGCGAGACTTTATTGGGTCACTAAGGCAAGATGGTGGGTGTACTTACCAACTTTGATTAAATGCAGCAAATTGTTCTAGGTTAATTTAATTAAATGAAACCTGCTTTAAATATATTAACAATAACTGGTTTATTAATGCAGATTTTTTTCATAAAATGTATTTACATTTCAAGACTATTTGAATTTATTCTTATTGATAAAATTATTATAAGGTCTGGCTGTTTAGTATAATCTAATAAAAGCAAAATTCACAATGGGCAAAGGCAACTGATAACCAGGATTAATACATAAATATAATTAGAAAAAGATTGATTTCTGGAGCTCAGTAATATATGTGGCGCTTGAAGCTATTAATCTTAGAAAACCAGGCTCAGAATATCTGGTGCAAGGAATAGAATGTTTGTTACTAATTGTTGTTCAGCAATGTTTTGTGAGCAAACATCATGCAATAAGCTTGGCCTAAAGAAAAATTGAAAAAAAAAAATCTTACCTCAATTGGGTGTTATCGGCAATAAGGGCTTGATCCTGGCAGTGGGTTAAGAGGTGGTGCTACCATGTGGATGGGGATCCACAACAGTACTGAGCACACTGTGGGGATCCTGCCAATGCAGATCCCCAGCTGTGCCCAGAGCAGAGAGAGTTAAGCACATATGGCCACCATGTAACTGGAGAGGGCAGAAGGGGCATGGTGATGGATGGAGTTGTGGCATGGTGCCACGCTCTGTGAAAAATGGGTGATCTAGGTGGCAACAAGGGAGTTCAGAGTGGGCCCCCCACCAAATTTCCCTGTGCCTATTAGCTGCAAGTCCCACAGACAGGGACTTAGAGAGACCCGGCAGCTTCACCACGAGCACCATGGCCCCAAACACATGTAGCTCTGCTGGAGAAGGAGCATGTCTGAAGGCTGGCCAGCCTGTAGTGGCTCCACTTCAGCCAGCTAGAGGACATGGATTCCCTTTTGCTTATATTGTACTGTTCTTTAAAATAGTGGATATATTTTAGAAAGCTCGAGAGGCTATTTATGATAGTAAATATAACTCTCTTAACACACAGTAATACAGTAAATATTGAGACATTTGACATTGAGCCTGTCTTTATATATTTATAATGGGAATGAACACAAAGTTTGGAAGATGCCAAAGAACAGAGTTATTAAATCAAAGATAGCAAACTGGAAACAGCAAATTTCAAGCATATCTTGTTTAGCGAATGTTTAAAAGAAAAAGGTTTACTAAAATTTGTTTCAAAAGACCATGCATCTTGAAATTAAATATTACATTAGCAGATCTGCTATTTTTACACACTCTTCCATAGCACCTATCAGAAAGGTATATTGATATTCATTATCAAATAAACTCTATGCTTGGGGGGG